GGAGCCTGCTTCAGATTCTGTGTCTCCCTCTCTCTCTGCCCCACCCATGCTTGTGCTCTGACTCTGTCTCTCAATAATAAACATTAAAAAATATTTTTTAAAAAAAGTTCCCTCTCTCTAAAATTAAAAAAAAAACATTTTAATGCCATAAGAAAATGCTTATGCTAACACTTTTATTTTTTTATTTTTTTACAATGCTTCTTTTTTTTTTTTTTTACAAATAGTTTATTTTCAAATTGGTTTCCATATAACACCCAGTGCTCATCCCCACAAGTGCCCTCCTCCATGCCCATCACCCCCCCCCCAACATCCATCAATCCTCAGTTTGTTTCTAGGCATTCAAGAGTCTCTCATGGTTTGCCTCTCTCCCTTTCCCCCACCATTTCTCCCCTTCTTCTCCCCCATGGTCCTCCGTTAAGTTCCTCCTAATCCTCCTATATGTGCAAACATGTGATATTTGTCCTTCTCTGCCTGACTTATTTCGCTCAGCATAACACCCTCAAGGTCCATCCATGTTGCTACACATGGCCAGATTTCATCGTTTCTCATTGCCATGTAGTATTCCATGGTATAGATAAACTACATCTTTTTTTTTTAATTTTTTTAATGTTTTATTTATTTCTAGGAGAGAGAGAGAGAGAGAGAGAGAGACAGCGTGAGCAGGGGAGGGTCAGAGAGAGAGGGAGTCACAGACTCTGAAACAGGCTCCAGGCTCTGAGCTGGTAGTCAGCACAGAGCCCGACGCAGGGCTCAAACCCATGAACCGCGAGATCATGACCTAAGTGAAAGTCGGAAGCTTAACCGACTAAGCCACCCAGGCACCCCGATAAACCACATCTTCTTGACCCATTCGTCCGTTGATGGACACTTAGGCTCTTTCCATGTTTTAGCTATTGTTAAGAGTGCTGCTATGGACACTGGGGTACATGTGCTCCTATGCATCAGCATTTCTGTATCCCTTGGGTAAATTCCTAGCATTGCTATTGCTGGGTCATAGGGGAGTTCTATTGTTAGTTTCCTGAGGAACCTCCACACTGTTTTCCAGAGGGGCTGCACCAGTTTACATTCCCACCAACAGTGTAGGAGGGTGCCCGTTTCTCCACATCCTCGCCTATGCTAACACTTTTAAATAAAAAAGTTATCAAAGTCTCATCTTAGTATGATCTCAAATCACCTGTAAAACATGGCACATTTTAAACAGTTGTTTTCTCTAAGTGATGGGACTGTAAGCACTTTTTCCTGCTTTTTCTCTACATTTTTGTATTATCCACTATTTTTATTGGGGAAGGGTAAAAAAAAAACTGAAAAACTAAGAGTGTTACAGCTAATCAAGTAAAACGTTTTGGTCTTTCTTATTGTAACCTGCTTTTTTTTTTTTTCTTTAACTAACCTGGGAGCTCAATTGTCCTGTATTATAGATTAACAGTGTACTCTGTATGAGGGTGATGACAGCTGGCATTTACTGAATAAATGCTATATGCCAAGCAGGAATCTAAGTTCTTACTATACATTATCTAATTTAATCCTCATATCAACCCAATGAAGAGTACAATTATCTCCATCTTATCATCCTGGAACTGAGGCATAGGTGAATGATTGGGCCCAGGCCACCCAGTGGCAATTCAAACTCAAGCCCTCCAGGTTTGAATGGCTGCACCATTTTCAACATGTTAGGCCCTCACAGAATTTTATTAGGACTATCGTTAGTTCCAAAATATTTGGAAAATGAGCTGACCCTATGAGATGCACGCTTCAAAGAATCAAATCACCAAGAAGTAGACCAAAGGAAGCTCCCAGAATTTCACGGAAATTCTACTGAAGAACTTTTGTCAGAGTCTATCTTATGGATGGAAATGACTACCTCAATGAAGTGGTGATAATGTCGCTTGTATCTTTTCTCTGTAACATCAATCAAATGTTCATGGAGTCGAGGTACAAGGCATAAGAGAAAAAACGATATCCTCTATAATCAGACTTCTAACTTAATTGAGGGGATAAGACAATACACAGGCAACAACTGGCACAAGGAAAAAACCAATTAAATGTGAAGTCACGTGGCAGAGCGGTAGTGGAGAAGTCATATAGGAAGAACCACAGCTCTGAAGTATCACAGAATTTGGAAGACACGAGGAACAACACTGGAAGATCACCTAGCCAACTCCATGATCTCGAGATGAGAGCTAGTGACTGGGCTGAGGCCATACAGCTGCTGAGTAGCAGAGGTAGGTAAAGTAACCAAGGAGGTTTAGGAAGCAGTTAATCCTACAAAAGCTTTCCAAGGGCAAGTGGTGAGGTGATGGTACTTTCGATGAAAACGGTGGACAACATTCCCCTCTGCTGGTCTAGCAAAATCAACCTGTCACTGGTCTGATGCTTAGATTACACGCTGTGAAGAGTTCTTGCACTGAGATTTACATTTTTAAAACAATCAGATACTACTGAATCGTTTGTTTCACTGCATTCATCGTTTTCAGACATTAAGTATTCCAATGTGTATGGCACTCTATCCACGATATTGCCAAACAGAAACACACCTATGCACCTAAGCATTCCACGTGCTTATCTAAGAGCACTGTGATCTGGCCGTCTTTAACACACCTCTGGTTTAGACAGAAGCAGGTTGTTCGATGTTGTAAACTGGTAAATAGGAATTATTTGTCCAGCTTCAAAGCTTCCACCACCAACCTACCCCTACATTTTATTTAGAGCACCCAAATACTCCTTGTAATAGTTGCTCACATAAAATCTATCAATTGTTAGAAAATGGGATATACTTAACTCTTAAGTAGATTAGAGAACCTAAATATGAACTGATTGAGCATTTTCTTTTTAAATAAAAAGTTACCTATACGTTAACAGGCAAGGCTTAAAGATACTGACCCTAGTTTTCACTGAGAAATTTTGGTAGTGAACACAGATGTGACTCAGAACATGTAAAATTTATTTCAGAAATGTTTGTTCAAAATTGAGAAATGAAAACATGGTAGGATAATGAAAAGTCAATTTTGACGAATCCCTTTCAAAAGTTTAAAAGTAAGTATCATGGTCACTGGACTCTAAGGTTTTCATTTTTGTTAAAAAATACAAACCACTTCAATTTCTGACACCAAACATACAGGCATAAAGTTATATTTTCTTGTATTCTAAAATAATAATCCTTGTGCCTGGGTGCTCAGTCAGTTAAGTGTCTGACTTTAGTTCAGGTCCAAGGGTTCGAGCCCCTTGCGAAACTCTGTGCTGGCATCTCAGAGCCTGGAGCCTGCTTCAGATTCTGTGTGTGTGTGTGTGTGTGTGTGTGTGTGTGTGTGTCTTCCTCCCCCACTCATGCTCTGTCCCTCTCTGTCTCTCAAAAATAAATAAGCATTTAAAAAATAATTAAAAAACTTTAAAAAACCTCTTATGGGTTTGCAAGCTCAAGTTAAGCCTCAAAATTATTTTTTCTCTGCCTCCAATCTATTATTAAGAGAGTGTACTTTTAATCCCTCAAAAATTATTTCAAAAGGCATTACATACCCTCATAGAGCATTCAGGCTAGCTATACTACAAAAACTTAATACAGTTCTCTTTTGATATACTTCAGCTATTTACATTGCAAACTGCTGTACAATTTGTAAACGTAGATCAGAGAAGTAACTAAAATGTGGTTTCCAAAAAAGTAAAACAGGTTAATAAATCATAAATAATATCAAGTCCATAAAGAAAGTAATTTTCTAACAAGTCAGAAAAACAAAAGTAAGTACAAATTCAAGTGCTAAATAGCTGTCTTCCTTACAACCATTGCCAAATCTGCTGTGTGGCTTTAAAGTTTCAGACAAGACTTTGACTTTCAACCTAAACATTTCACATCTACAAAATACAAGTGTCAGGGTCATCCCCTCCCACATTAATACTTTCCAAAGTCTCAGAGATTTTAACTGAGAGCAGAAAAACTAAGAGTCGAAAGAGAGAAACAAAAAAGTTTGCCAAATATCAAAAGACAAATCCAAAATCTATACTAGCAATTTCTCCGTATCAGACAGAATAACCTATATGCAAATGGTGAGTGTTTGAATGCAATCACTTATTAGTATGCATTCTACTTACTTTGCTTTTTGCCATTTATAAGCTTCATTAAAGACACCCAGAAAGAGGTAACCAGTAGGAGGTTCGGCTCAGATGGGACAAACCAGTTGTAAACTCGACCTACAAATTTACATCCTACGACGTCTGCAGGGAAGGTACTCTTTATCAAGTAACATCATATATATACGCTTTCGATTGTGAAATAACGCATTTCAGCTTTTTACGCCGCACGCTGCCATTAGAAACCCTTAACTCTACCTCTCCAGTTCCCGGAAAAAAAAAATCCACCTCCAAATCTCATTGGTCCACATAGTTCCGGCCCACATGGTATCAGTGGGTGTGCCCCTGCCAATGGGTCCTCTCATTGGCTGCGAAGAAAAAGGATTTAATAGGATGTGATTTGGGGGGTTGTCAAACTCCACGCCTCCAGGCCTTGCGTTTGCCAATAGACCCGAGGTACTGGCGGCTACTGTGCGATTCAAAGGACAAGGTGGCTGCCTGAGCGCCAACCCCAGAAGGATGAACTCAGACAAGGAAAGGGGGCGAGGAGACGGGAGAGGCCTCTCCTGCTCTCCGCCTACTCCCGGACCCCCTGAAATGTTCGCACACGTGCATTTTCCCACCGACAAATTAGGAAGGCGGGCAGTACGCTCGCCTTTTCTAGAGCTATGACCGAAGGAGCAGCGCAGGATCCGCATTCAATCGGCCCATTCTACAGACGCAAGCAAGCAAGAGTGAGGCTCAGGCAGCGATCTTTAGCGCTTGGCAACCCTGGGAAAAGAATCAGTCCCGGGAGTCCCCCCACCCAGTACACTCCCCCGATAGCGGGTGCTGGGGCGCACCGGCCCAGCTGCGGTGCCTGCCCGCCGCCCCCGGGGGTGGTGGGCGCGCGGGATGCGCCTGCCTCGCGCCAGCGCTCGGCTAGCGATGGGACTTACGCGGCCTGTTCTTCCTCCCAGAGTCCATCCTCCTCCGCAGCCGGCATTTCTTGGCTGGGGAGTCGTGCTGAGGGGGCGGTGGCTGTGGCTGAAGCTCGGGCAAGAGCTGGAGGCGCGCGGGTGCCGCGTCGCCACCGCCCGCCGGGCCCCGGCTGCAGAGGCGCGGCGGCTGGACTGGCGGCGGGTGGAAGCCGTTGTGCAGCAGCCCGTTTACGGCGGCAGCTCCGGTGTCGGCGGGAGCCCCCGGGGCGTGCGTGGGCGAGTGCTCGGGCCGCCCGCCCCGGTCGCCCATGCCGGGGGCTGGTGCGGCGGCGCGCGGGCCGCAGCTCAGGCAGCCTCGCTGGAGGTCATTCTCGGGCGTCTTTATTTCCCCGGATCCTCCCTGCGGTTTCCGATTCAGCAGCCGCAGAGCCGGCGCCGGGGGATGGCGAGCCCGGCGCTCCTCCCCTTCTCCCACCGGCTCCCCCCTCTCCTCGGCGCTCTGCCCCCTGCTCGCCCGCCCCGCCGCGCCGGCCTGGAGCATGCCGGCTCCGGGCGCGGAATCGGGGAGCCCCGCGGACCCCCCCAGCCGGGGCCCCCACGGCCCCCCTCCCCCCGTTTCCCCGGCCGCGCGACTTCAAACGCGGCTTCCTTGCCTTCCAGACCTGTCCCCACTACTGAGCATGCCCAGTGCTGCCCGCCACCGCCACAGACGAGTTTCAACTAGGGGACTGAAGTTCTCTGGGTTTGCAAAGAGATGGGCGGGTTGAGCTTTGTATCTCGGAGCTGCGGAGGGACTGATCGAGGCTGGCGCAAGAGGAGCAGGTAGATTTGGGAGGAATACGGAGGCACACAAATTATTTGTAGAGGCTTCAAGTTTGCTAATCCTGTCCCCAGAAGGCCAGACACCTTTGCAAGGTCATTCACGTTGTCGCCTCCAACGCCCCTCGTCTCCCTGCTTTGTGAGTGTGTGTGTGTTCGTTAAGTGACCAAACTACTCACAGGCCTGAGTGGAGGGAGGAGAGCGAGTATTTATAGAAAGGTAGGCCGATTTGGAGAGGGAGGGGAGTGAAATTTCTTTACTGGCACACGTACAGACACCATGTGGTTTCCGGAGTTGTCTTCTGCAGGGAGGAAACCTAGGAATACAGTGTAAGGACAGGGAAGGGCACAGCTGCCCGCCAGATTAACAGGTGCTGGAAGAGACTGAGAAAGCAGAAGCAGTCCCAAGCTATAAAAAGCACTTTCCTCACCCAGAAAGGGCTTCAAGAGACAATGTGATTCTATTTATAGAGTAAGGAGTAGCCTGTATTTTAAGAAGGGAAGGCAGCCTGGAGGGGTGGTCAACACCATGAGCTTTGGAGTCCCAGCTGGGTTCAAGTTCCAACTCAGCCGCTGAGCAAACCTGGAGAAAGTCATTGCTCAAGTGAACACACCTGGCAATAGGAAACAGGCCTGGATGTGCTCCGGACGCAGGACAAATTTGGGTGCTGAGGACCTTACCAAAGTTATGTAATCCTTTGAGGCTTCGGCTTTTGAATCTAACAAGGAGCTGTTGTGAGAAATCTTTCCCGAGTAACCGGTACAATCCTGGCACCCGGTAAATGCTTCAAACAGGTAGTTATCCTCATTACATTATTAGCAGTTTGCCTGCCATTTCAAGTGAGAGGAGCAAACCATGTCCACAGCCATATTTACTGTGTGATTTATTATGTGCAATGTTCTCCATCATTTGTATTTACTTAATCTACAGGGGAGTCAGAGGCCAGCAAGTGCTGGCTGGGCCACTGGGCTGCCAAGCCCCTGGACCCCAGTGCCTTCAGCAGCAGCCAGGGGATGTGCCTTGAATTGGTGATTTCTTCCAGAAGAGCCCTACCCAGAACCACAGCTTTGGAACCATAGGGGCCACTTGAGAACTCTGGTCCATCCACTCATTTTTCCAGATAAGGAAACTGAGCCACAGAGAGATGGCTGAGGTTCTTGAGAGCAAAACCATGGCAAAATCTTAAATATTCTATCCCTGACCTTATCATATATTTGAGACATACAGGAAAAAAAAAATAACAAAACTTGAGTGTTATGCTTTATCTACCTCTCCCGTCTCATCTCCAGCTCCCTGTGCTCCTGCTATAGGGCAGCCTGCCAGTTCCTCAAATAATTTATGTTCCCTTTGCATCTGTTGTTTCCATTGGCTGAAATTCTCTTCCCCCAGACCTCTTTGTCCACTAGATTTGGACTCAATCTTCAGATCTCTGCTTCAACCTCTTATATTTGGAGAAACGTTCCCTGACCCTTGGGACTAGATCAGGTTTTCCTACTCCCTACACTGTATCTTCGTGCCTCTATCAGTTTGTAACTCTAGGAAGCATCTGTTCCCTTATTTGTCAATGGGGATATTAATAAGACATCACTGAGTTGTTATAATGATGAAATGAATTAAATGAAATTAATTTAAATGCAATTAAATGAATTTAAACGAATTAAATGAAATATATCTGTGAAGTGCCCAGCACATCATAACTGCTATGAGAAACCCAGATATTGTAGCCAGGGCACAGGGGTGCAAGAGCACCTGCTCAGAGGGTCCCAAACAGACCAGGTTTGGCTACTTGCCGCTGACAAGATCCAAAAGGCAAAAAGACAAGTAGCAGGGAAACAAGAAAGGAATTGATTTCAGTGAGCCCAACACCAGAAAGACAGCAGACTAACATGTCAAAGGCTGTCTCTAAAGTGCTGGCAACACTTCCAGGTTTATATAAGGAAAATATGGGGCAAAGGTCAGTGGGTACATGCAGCTGGGCAGTCAAGGTCAGGTTGATCACTGTGTTGGCGTCAATCAAGCAGGGTCTTGCTGACTCAGGGTCTTGTTGCTTGAGTGGGTAGTTTTGGGTCTCACCATGGGATGCTTTGCCCACAGGGTCTTTTGCCTGAATTAAGAGATAAGCTGGAAAAAAAGAACCTAATAAATAAGTTTGAGGTCAAAATGGAGGTAGTTAAGTCCTCTTTCAATATTACAATTTGACTGTCTGTCTCCTCCTCCTCCACCGGCACCCCTCCCCCCAAACACACACTGTGGTCTCTGTTAAGGCAGATGACTCTTGTTCATCACTGTGTCCCCGGGAAACTCTTGGTAATTAACTGTGACTGAATAAATGGCGTACACGGTATTTCAGCCAGGGTGTCTCTCACTTTCTGCTGTAAATTTGCTAAAAGGTCTCTACTGCTACTCCTAAATATTCAAAGATTTTCAAACTCCCACATGACTTAAGCTGGGTAGTTTAGGAAGCAGTTTACATCAGAGATGCAAGTAGAAGCTTTAGCAATGCAGTATCTCCAAGGACATGCGCTCTCCAGCTGGATTCCCAGGCATGTTGAGGAAGGCCTGAGCCAGGTGGCTCAGACCCAGGCAGGGCAGAAGTGCTGGTACTGGGGACAGAACGTCCTCCACCTGCTTCCTTTCTCCCGCCCTTGTCAGGCTGGTGCCCTGGATCAGTCACACCGAGCATGTGGGTAGAGAGGAAGTCAGGTGGCATCTCACAGGATTATTCAGGGGAGGTATATCTGGGAAGTGTAACTCTGAGGTATGAGCTCTCATGTGCTCTAGCAGGGGCAGGGAACAAATGCTTAGAAAAGAGTGAGGGAGGAAGGAAACCTCAAGCCACTTCTCTCCCTTTATTCATTCATTCATTTATTTGCTAATCATTCATTAAGTGTGTACTATGCTGTAGGCACTAAAACAGATGGTGGGAATATAGAAACAACACTACCCTCTCACTACCCTCTAGAAGCTTACATTTCAGTAGGAAGAGAGATGTCAATGGTTCTCCATCAGTGTTATAAAGATAACCTGGGGAGTGTTTACTCTTTTAAACTCTCCATTGAAAGTAACATACATACAGAAATGTATACATACCCTAAGGGTAGAACTCAGTGAATTTTGCACAAACACTGTGTAATTAGCACCTGATCAAGAAACAGAACATGACCAGTAATCTAGTAGATTTTTTAAAAGCAGATTCTTTGCCCAGGTCCATGAACTGATTCAGTCGGTGTGGAGCACAGGAGTCTGCATGGTGATGATGGTGATGATAAATATTTTTTAAATTAAAGAAGTAAAACGGTAGCAAAAAAAGCTGTTTTAAAATGAGATTATGGGCGCCTGGTGGCTCAGTGGGTTGAGCCTCTGGTTTGGGCTTAGTTTATGAACTTCATGAGTTCAAGTTCCTCATCGAGTGTGCTCAAGCCCTGCTGTGGGTGAGCTCGAGCCTGGCTTCGGGTGGGCCCTGCTTCTCTCTCCCGCTCTCTCTGCCCCTCGTGGGATTCTCTCTCTTTCTCTCTCCCTCCCTGTCCCTCGCTCACATTCGCCCTCTCTCAGTCAATCAACAAATCAATCATTATTTTTAAAAAGCCCAGCGACAATGAGATTATGATGTAGATGGTCCTGGCTTGAACAAACAATGAACAATGACCTCTACCACGAAGTAACTCCAGAGGACTCCAGACAGTGAGCTCCTTAAAGGAGAAAGAAGGGAAGTGGTACAAAATTGGAGGTTAAAACTGGCTTCAGGGAGGAAATAACCCTTAACCTGAATTTTGAATACTAATGGGATTTCTTTAGGGAAGGTTAAAGGAAATCCATTCAGGAGGAGGGAGTGGAGACTTTGGGGGAGGTTTGAAACCTTCTGGCCTGTTTGGGAATCTGCCAGAAGTTCAACAAGGCTGAAGGACAGCTTAGCAAGGGAGAAGGTGAGCGCTTACAGCTGAAAATGTTAGATGGGTCCAAATCTCAGATGGCTTTCTGCCAGTAGAAAAGGATTCCTGAAGGTCAAGGGAAACCACTAAAAAGTTTTAGATTATAGAAAAACTACCAGATTTGCATTCTGGAAGAATCTCTGGTAGCAGCCTGGAAAAGGATTAGGGGAAGAGGTCTGTATCGATGGAGACCAGACAGAGGGTTATTGGAAAAGTTCAGATAAGCCGTGATAAGGGTCTGAGGAAAGGACATAGCAGTTGGAATGAGAGCACTGTGTAGATTCAAGAAGTTTTTTAAGGGTAGAATCCATAGGACTCGGCGGCCCTTGGGTGAGGGAGAGGTAAGGCTAGGATGATTTCTGTTTCCATTTGGGCAACTGGTGATGTAGTGGTTTCAATGTGCAAGATGAAATCAAGACCTTCTGCCTATATTCTCTTTGGGTCTTACTTACACCTTACACTTTAAAAAAGGATGGTCTTTGGGGCGCCTGGGTGGCTCAGCCAGTTAAGCTTCCAACTCTTGATTTCAGGTCAGGTCATGATCTCACAGTTCGTGAGATTGAGCCTCACAATGGGGCTCCAGGCTGACATCCAGGACCTGCTTATAATTCTCTCTCTCTTCCTCTCTCTCTGTCCCTCCCCTGCTATCTCCCTCTTTCTCTAAATAAATAAATAAATAAATAAACATCTTTTTAAATTTTTTTTTTAATGTTTTATTTATTTCTAGGAGAGAGAGAGAGAGACAGCGTGAGCAGGGGAGGGTCAGAGAGAGAGTGTGTTTCATTTTCTGAAACAGGCTCCAGGCTC